TACTTATTTCTTGAGCATTGTGTTGCATAAGTGAGTAATATAATTGTGCTTATGTATGCATAGATATCACATAAAATTTGCCAACATTTTTAAGTTCAGGAGCATAAAGTACATTCACATTGTACAACCATCACTACCATCCATCCCTAAAACTCTCTCCTGTTGCAAAGCTGAAATTTCTTCACCAGTTACATGATAATCCCACTCCTTCCTTCTCCCAGCTCCTAACAACCACTATTTCTGTCTGTTAGAAAAAGCTCATTACTCCAAGTAACTCAAAAAAGCGGATTGATCAGTATTGGGCCTTTGTAACTGGCCTGTTTTACCTAGAGTACTGTCCACAAAGCACCCACATGGTGGCGTGTGTCAGAATTCCGTTTCTATTCAAGGCTGAGTGATACCCCATTGTGTGCACTTGTTCGTTCTCTCATGGACAGTTGCATTGCTGCCGCTGTTTCATTATGGCAAATGATGCATACACAAAAGTCTGACCAGCTGAAGTCTGGATAGATTTTTAGGAGGCACGTTAGGAGGCTTTTCATTAATGTTTGGTTATATTTCCAATCTTGGTTTGTGAAACACCTCCATACATTTTAGATGTTTTACGTGCTAAATATATTTGATGTCTTGCTGAAATACTTTAGTTATGTATCTTCAAAACCTTTACAACTACTCAATAACTCCTATGAGTTAATATTTTAAAACTACACATGTAAATACTCAACTTTATAAATTATGAAAACCTAAAATTTACTTAAATTATACCATACATAAGAATAGTGATGTTTTAATTTTAAAGAAACCACTACTTTATTTTTGATGAGAATGTAAACCAGTATAACCATTGTGGAAGTTGGTATCGAGATTCTTCAAAAAACTAAAAATAGAAGTTTTATTTGACCCAGATAGTCCTCTTTGAGGTATCTTCCCAAAAGAGTTAAAGACATCATATTACATTAATACATGCATGCAAATGTTTCTAGCAACACAGTTCATAGTATTCTAATTTTGGAAGCAGTCTATATGTCCAGAAACAGAGGAATGGATTATAATATATGGTATTTATACACAGTAGAATACTACTCTGCTATAAAGAAGGGTGAACATTTGTGGGAAAAACGGATACACCTTGAAAACATAACGCTAAGTGAAATGAGTCAGACACACAAGCTTAAATACCGTATGGTTTCCCTCCTATGAGAAAACCAAAGTGAAGAGCAAAACAACGGAAAGAAAAGATAATATTTTTACGCAGTGGAGTACTACTCATGCCATAAAAAACAGGGAGATAGTCCCTTTTGCAAAAGGGAAGGGACCAAGAGATAGAAGGAGAGGGAAGGGAGAAAAATGGTGGCAAAAGAGATTTTAAAACAAAGAATTAAGATGTATTATGTACATGCACCAACTCCTTACAGCAAGAGCAATCATTGTGTACTGGAAGCATGTACAATAAAAATAATGAATCCATTTTCTAAAAGTGTTACTTATTTAACTTGTGACTAAAAGACACAGTTGTCAAATGGACACAATGCTCTTAAGCATTATATGTGTGTAATGTTTGTAGATTCCTGAAAACATAGACCTCCAGTAACCTTAAGAGTCTCAAAGATTTCTATAATTAATACTACCATTTCCTGAGATTGAAAGATCCTTATCTATCAGGGAAGACAATTAATGCACCAGTTATGTGAGATTTTTTTTAATCCTAAAGATTTATGTGCAGCATGATGTCTGCAGAGCTGCAGACATCCTGGACAAATTTGATGAAACGAAGGAAATTCTTACAGAAAGTCTTTTATCATCCCATATGGGTTTTGGAACCACTTTCTCTTCAGTCTGTTTACATCTGTGCTCAGAGCTGTCAACTGACACACGGACTAGATTTTCAGTTATGACCACAGTGGGATGCATGGAACCTCATTTGTAACTACCATGTCAAAAGACCTGCTATTCAAGGAACTGTTCCTTTAACCTGAATCCTTAGACTCCAGTTATACACATTACACAATTTTTCATTGTATACATTTATGTCTGCAGTTCCCACACAGGATAATTACTTGGTTTTGTGTTTCATTTTTTGGTTTCTAAAAATGGAAATACCTGTTTGCTTAAGTCTGGTGAAAAAGTCTCCCGTTTTTCATATACTTTTTTAGAATCAGGCAATTCTTTTCTTTACTGAAGTATACTGGACCTATTAGGCACTGTTTGACTTACAGTTACAAAATATCAGGTCTCTAGCAAGGCTACCCCATCACACAACTTTAAAAGTACATTTATAGCTATACAGCAGAACAGCTGTTGTGCTAATAGCATAAGTGATATTACAGCCATGGTGCAGGTGATGTGTTGCTATTATCATAATTATTGTCCTATCTTATGTAATGTCTCGTACTCACACATACTTCATTGTTCTCATTGCTTTGTTCCACTTCTTAATCATTTCTTCCTTTTTCTACTTCCTGTTTCAACTGGCATAGAGTCCATCATCAGTAATTTTTAGATATGCTAACATTACCGAAAATTCCTTTGACATTGTGCGCTTTTTTGTATCTGACAAATAAAATCAAAAGAGCAATATCTATTTTACAGACCAATTTTTATCAGAAGGTTCTTAGTGATTTCATAATGAGAAAGACACCCATTTCCAACCCACTGGCTCCACCATGCACATCCTGAAGAAGCAGTTCTTTCCCCTGTGCTTTGCTAACAGCCCTGACTGTGATGCAGTGAGCTCAGTGTTCACAAGAGAATGTGAGGCCAATAACAATTAATTGATGCATTTTTAGACTCTTGTTCATAATTAAAATATGAGTAGAATTAAGAACAAGATACTTTATCTGATCAGTAGATTTGTGCATTATATGTGTGTAATGTTTGTAAATTCCTGAAAACACAGACCTCCAGTAACCTAAGACTCTCAAAGATTTCTATAATTAATACTGATTTAAATTTCATTTTCTGAGATTTCCTGAGATTTCCTGAGATTTAAATTTCAGTATTTAGTATTTGTTCTTATTTTACCTGTTAGTAATTCTTGAATGAGCAGGGAAGATCTTAAATTTACACTTTAAAAAAAATTAAGCTGCCAACCAAAACTCAGAATGTCATCCTATAAGAAAATAGATTCAACAGTCTATAAAGAAGAAAATGTAAACAAAGGACATAAGAAACAGTGAACTGGGGCTGGGGATTTAGCTCAGTGGCAAAAAGCGCCTGCCTGGCAAGCGCAAGGTCGTGAGTTCGGTTCCCGGTACCGGAGAAAAACCAAAAAAAAAAAAAAAAGAAACAGTGAACTTTATTCCAGGAACGAAGAGTGTGAGGTTGCCTTAATTAGTACCTCCAACTGGAAAGGTCATTTTCAGAGGACAAACAGCTGTCTGTGTCCACCTGGTCCCCTTCTTCACAGTCATCATTTTGGGAAGGAAGTGCAGTTAGACAAAGCAATGACTCTGGCAAGTTGGTTTACACGAGTAGGGGTAGACGCTCTGCAGGCTCCTCTCTGAAAAACGGAAGGTGCACAGAATGTGAGCATAGATAGAGATGAATCTAAATTTTTTAAAATATTTTTTTGGGGGAAAAAAACCACCTTTGCTCCCATGTTTGGCACTTAACACAATTTGTAATTATGACTATTTACTTAAACTGACCAAATACAAATTGTCTGAAGATACTAGTAAAGATTTTTTTTGAAATTTGTGATCCAGCAATTTGTGGCATGGGAGGCGTTCTTATTTATGAAGTTGACATATCTTCACGTCTATGCCAAAGATGGTCTTTTTCAGAAAAGCAGTTTGCAGCCAGCACATCTGCTGTTCTTATGCAGAGGATTAAAATGAACTATTTTTGTTGAAGCTCAGCTGCAGAGTAAAAGAACATTAAACCAGCTTGCCAAAAAAAGTTACCTATTCTAGATTTTGTTTCTTTTCATTGAACTTTTAAAATATTCTTTTCCTCCATATGAGAAAGCCTTACTTTCCATTAATAAATAAAAAGTTTTATATGGTTTTAAGTTGTGTTTTGTCAGACTGCAGCATTTTATGGTATGTAAATCTTCCTACTTCAGCCTTTTGAATAATAAACTATTACCCAGCTTTGACTTTGCTTAGTAACAAAGATTTTCGGAAACAACATGTCAACATTATTGATTCTTACTTTGAATGTGAAATTGTTTTGCTCTCACAGCAAATCTATATTAAACATGTTCCAGCCCTTCCCTTCACATAGAATGTCATTCATGAGGACCTCATCAGAAAACTGGAGTGGCATCTGGTATTCCCAAGAATTATGAAACCATACCTATAATTTTTATGAAAAAGAAATAAGTAACTTCCACATGTTTTTGTCACACTTCTGAAGGAAAGGTGGATTGTTAAATTGATCAGCCCTCTGGAAATTGACATTTTTCTGATATTTTAGGTCTGTAAAACCTGTGATGACTAAACTCAAAGCTATTTTGTTCATGACTCAGTTTTGTTTAAAAGAATGTTTAGAGATCCTCCAAAACGTTCACCAAAGTGAATGATAGCAGAAGAGGGAAAGGTGTATCAGTGCACAAGGGGACCTTCGGGTCATGCACAAGGGAGAGGCGATGTCCTGGAACAGAACTCACTTTACCCCCATCATGCAGCATGGAGGGCCTAGCCTGGCTAGCACTGCCAAATCTACAAGAAGAGCCAGAAATACAAATTTCATGTGAAATTTCCTAATTTTACACAATTGGCTGGCAGTTTAAAGTTTAAAAGAGTATTATTTGAGCCAAGAAAATACATCTGTGTACCAGATACATCCGGGAGCCGCGCGTTTACAGTGTCCAGGGTAGAATCCATTGAAGTTTCTTAGTGCACTCTCTTTAACAAAAAATTACTAGTTTTCAAGATGAAACTCAGGCCTTTGTCTTTAGACACTTGGTCAGAAGAAATACTCTGTTTTGTGCATTTGGAGGCACTGATAGAAAATTGGGTATGGTCATAACACCTCTCCTCCTTCTGTCATGGTTTCAGACTACAGGACGGGCCCATGTTTCACTCAGGTCAACAACCAGATGTGCCAAGGGCAGCTGACGGGCATCGTCTGCACAAAGACTCTCTGCTGTGCCACCATTGGAAGGGCGTGGGGCCATCCCTGTGAGATGTGTCCTGCCCAACCCCAGCCCTGCCGGCGGGGCTTCATCCCCAACATCCGCACTGGAGCCTGCCAAGGTGAGTCAGCCATCTACTCTTCCGTGTGACAGCACACATCCTTCTCCTTGACTGGAGTTGGAGAACCGGCATTGTGCAAGATCTTGGACCTAGAACCTGTTCCTAAGAAAGGCCCTGTGAGCCAGCCTGACCAGAGATGGCTTACGTTTTTTTAGCTCCTCATAAGTATGTTTCCATTTTCAACATTAATGGAGGAGAGAGACGGATTTTAAAAACTGGGGAAAATTTAATAATACATCTTAAAATATTTAATAGAATCAAAGGACAGTATCTTCATCCAGTGGAATGACAACTCCCACCCACAACTGTATACACGCAGACACCTAGAAAAGATACATTTGCTCTCATACTTCATCTCATTCGAGTGATGAGACCTGGATCCTAGGAGCCAGGGAAAAGAGAGCTGCCCTAGTTTAGCCCTCTATTTGTATTAATACTGCAGTGTGTACAAAAATGAAAATGTAATTCAGACCATGACTGTACTTGTTTTGGAGCTCATAACCCAGGTTGGGCACATTCTTGTCTCCATATAATCTCTTGGAATTCCCAGCTACATCCATGATACTGATGCATACAGTAACCCCAGGGTGCTAATAGTGGACTCCAGCTCAAGTAGCCAAGCACTGTTGTATGTTTACTGGTTAATTGTTTTAATTAATTTTTGGCAGCCACATTTCTTCCCCCCCCCCTTTTTTTTTTTTTTGCTACTCCTGTAATGTCAGATGTATAAAGTCAACTTTTAGAACTAGGAAATGTTCTCCCTAATGAGTTGTTAAATGGTACTTGACTTCAGATCACTTAGCAGTAGGACCCCAGGAAAATGGAAATGACTTTTACCTCATTCACAAAAATGGTATTACTCATATTTAAGACAGGAGAAGTTAGATTTATTTCTTTATAGTGAAATCATACAAAGGTAGATCTGAAGCCTTTCCCACTGAGGTTAGTAAGCAGTGTCAGAATTAAAGGTGATCCCTCTCCCACCCATGTAAATGGCATACTCTAGTAAGCAATCCAAGGCCCCAAACTCCAAACAGGTGTTGAGTTTGGGGAGCTCATGTGTAACTTTAGTTTATTCCATAATAATATGAGTGCTTTGCATAATTTGGTAAATGAATCCCTGGTAGTATCCTCCAAAATTATTGTTTAGTTTTATAGTTTTGTAAAAGGTAATGCAGATTAGGGATCCTTAATCTGAAACCCAAAATGCCCCCCAAACCAAAGACTTTTTGAGAACTGACATGATGTCACAAGTAGAAAATTCCAAACGTGACTTTATGTGACAGGTCATGGTCAAAGTGCACAAAACCATTGAAGCTATTGCATAAAAATTACCTTCAGGCTTGGTATGTAAGGTGTATTTGAAATGTAAATGATCTTTGTGTTTATGTTTGGGTCTCATTTTCAAGACATCTCATTTGTAAATAAAAAAAATTCCTGAAAAATTTTCTGAAATCTAAATTTTCTGAAAATCTGAATTTTATGAAATCTGAAAAATGAAATCAGATACTTCTGGTCTTAAATATTTCAGTTAAGGGATACTTAAACTGTATTTAAAATAGGTCTATATTTAAAATTTATCAGTGGGTCTGTTTATTCTTTTAAAATCAGAACTATAGCAGATGACCATATACACATGTGACCATATATAATTCAGCAGGGTAGAAACTCTGTATTTCATCACATATAAAATCTATGTTAGCTGTGAACTTAACATTGTTTTTTAGGTAACTATTACAGGTAAGAGCTTTCTTAATAGTGAAGAGTGGGTTAAATGCTATTTTTTATCTGTTTATTATATATAATAAAATTTCATATTTTTATATAAATACTAGTTCTGATTATGCAACCAGTCAATTATGCAACAATTTATTGGAAGATGTACTTTATCTAGTGTTTACTATTCTGTATAGAGTTTCTAAGTTAGTATACAGAATAACATGTAGCTTACATAGATTACTATTAAAAGTAAACTATTCAACTACGTAAATATCCTAGATTAATACAGACTAGATTTACTAGAATACTTTTTCTTTGTTCTGTAGCATATTTTTCCTTCTAATATATTCATTTTTTGTTGTTCTTGTTTTGGTGGTTTTGTTCTCCCTCAGCTAGCATGTAAGCTCCACGCAGGCAGAAATGTTTATATTCATTACTTCTGGGGTAGCCAGTAGAGGCACAGAAACAGGATTAAGATAGAAATATTTCCAAACCCCACTTTTTTGAAGAAAGAGACAGTTGAGCTTGAGAAGAGGATTTACTTTCAGAAACATCCCAAATTACTGACCTGCTCCATCTCTGTTTATACTTACACTTTCTTACTTGGATATTTTGTCAGAGCAGCCTGGCTTTTCAGACATAATTATTTAAAAAGTGCATCATCTGATCTCAAATTTTCTAAATGTCCTTCTGGATTTAGCTGTGTCTGAATTCTTACTAATTTGATTTTGTTTATGCAGCAGAGATAAGTTTGAACTCCCTTTGCCTTAAAATCTAATGGATTAACACGGTAATGGGAGCAAAATGAAATTTGCCGCATGGTAAAAATGTCTGGAAAAGCAACTTGAAAGGTTCTGCTTTATTTCAAAATCATGACATAGTCAGAAAGTTCTCAATTTAATATTAATCCTCACTTTAGGCTATTTTTAGAGTACATCTTACTGTGATTTCATTTTTCTCTCTAAATTCCTAGACCGTTTCCCAGATACTTATGCCAAATTAATTTTGAAGAGAAATGGCATGAAAAAACTATTATACTAACATATGGTATGTGCTTGTCATACATTTTCATAATAATGACTTTTTATAGGACAGTTGAAAAGTTTTATAAAGTTAAAAATGTCAGTTATGTGGATAACTGTAAGTAGCTTAACACTGGCCCTAAAATATGATTCTTATTAGCCAAAGAGGACATTTCTGAAGTTGTGAGTATAATAATATTCTATAGCTGATGCAATTTTAATTACCTTATCTATGGTTTAGAAGGGAATGAAACACGGTTTTATAAGAAACAGGATAACTGTGAAAATGAAGGCAACAGAAAATTAAGGTGCTGCTTTTTAAAAAATTAAGCTGCAAGGAAAAGTAGTCTTTTTTCTGCTACTGAAGACTGAATTCAGTGCCTTTGTACTGAGCTACAGCCACAGCCCTTTGGCTGGCTGATTGTCCGTCTGTCCATCCACCCATCCATCCATCCATCCATCCATCCATCCATCCATCTACCTACCTATCTACCTGACTACACAGGGTCTCACTAAGCTGCCAGGACTGGGCTTAAACAACTGTGATCCTCCTGCCTCAGTCTCTCAGATTGCTGGGATTATAAGCATGTGCCATTGTGCCAAGCACAGTAATTTTTTTAACTGTTGTTCTGTGATTACCTTTTGGGTTTAAATGAGAAAAACGTGTAGTTTTATGAGGCCTGTTATTATGATTCTTGACTACTATTTTAACAAAAAATAAAAATAGTAATAAAACAGAGTTTCAAACCAGGCTTGTAGGAAAGTAACAATATTGCATATTGTTATATTCATAGTAGTTGTTCAGAGTATAAGCATAAAATACTGTCAGTAATATTAGCACAGACCTTTCTTTTCAATGAACTAAGAGATACTAACTATATAACTATCTTAACTATATTGTGTAAAAAACTTTTTTCTCTTTTCCTTTCATCCTTTCCCCTTTCTCCCATCACAGTTTTTCTTTTCTTTTGGACAATTTCTACCCTATTCCAAATATCTATTGTACATTTTAGATCTTATTTATTCATTCAGTTTCTCATACTAGTGAGATGATGCAATATTCGCACATATAAGTCACATGTATTATTTCACTTATGAGTATGGTCTTGAGTTGCATCCATTTACCTGTAAAAGTCTCCAGTTTATCCTTATTTATGGCTGAGTAGCACTCCATTATATAAAATTACTGTACTTGGCACAATGGGACATGGTTATAATCCCAGCAATCTGAGAGACTGAAACAGGAGGATCACAAGTTTAAACCCAGTCCTGACAGCTTAGTGAGACCTGTGTAGTCAGATAGATAGATGGATGGATGGATGGACAGACGGACGGATGGACAGACAGATGGACGGGCGGATGGATGAACAGACAGATGGGTGGACGAACAGCCAAACAGAGCTGCGGCTGTAGCTCAGTACAAAGGCCCTGAACTCAATCTTCAGTAGCAGAAAAAAACTACTTTTCCTTGTAGCTTAATTTTTTAAAAAGCAGCATCTTAATTTTCTGTTGCCTTCATTTTTCACAGTTACCCTGTTTCCTAAAAAATCATGTTTTCATTCCCTTTTAAACCATAGATGAAGAAATTAAAATTGCATTAGCTACAGGATATTATTATACTCACAACTTCAGAATCGTTCTCCTTGGCTAATAAGAATCATATTTTAGAGCCAGTGTTAAGCTACTTACACTTATCCACATAGCTGAAAAGAGTGGAGAAGTGTTCCTTTTTCCCTACAGCCCCACCAGCATTTGTTATTGGTTGATTTCTTGATGATAGCCATGCTTTCTAGAGTGAGATGGAATCTCAGTGTTGTTTTAATTTGCATCTCTTGATCTCTTGAATAAGCAGGGATGCTGAACTGGCTTCTATAATTTTGAGATCCTGTAAATTCTAGCCCTTGTCCTTCACCTTTGTTTGGTCTTATACCTTCTTCTAGTTTATCCTACACCAAAGGACAAAAGTTGACTATATAGACCTTAAAATTTAAGCTGTCAAAAAACAAGTGATTTAAAAATTTTAAACATGACATTACATTCTTCCAAACCTTACATGTATGATAAAGTGTTACATGAATGTGATGTATTGTTTTCTCACAAATTGTACCTTATGTTACTATCTTTAGTTGCGTGTCTATTCTAATTAGGCATGACTTAAGGTTGGTACTTGGCTTTGTTTCTTGTGCTTTTACGTGAACAGATTGCACTTAAAATCTTTAAAAGAATACATTAAAATACAACTCATAATATTTAATTTAC